CGGTCGGCATTTTCGGCCGCACTCGACACACGCTGACTAGAGGCGTGTGAAGGCAAAGGATTGTGCAGGGCATTTTCACGACCCTCGCGGTGGTACAAACCGCCCCACGAGGTGTGGGGGCCACCCGCATGATAGCGATCAAGATCGTTCTGCTGACAGTGATAGGAATCGTCGTGCCTGGCACCTTTGCTTGGGTTCACCTGCGATGTGGCATGGGACAGCTCGGGATTCACTTTTTCGCCGAGTCTTAGCTTTGCCGGCACCCTGCTCGAGGCACGGTTCGTGTTCCTGGTCCTTGGGAGCCCGTATGCTTACTTTTTGCCACTTGCTTACCCTTACGTCTATGTGCTACAGTGCTCGCGGCACGGGCTATTTCCCTTTGCCGCGCTTTCGCCCGACCTGCAGGCGTTTTTGGCGGTTGCACCGCCCCAGCTGTTGTAGATGACATTCCTTGGTCCAAACGGTCCAGCCTCTGGTTGACCGTCTGGAGAGTATTATCGAACCTCTCCAGGTAGCTTCTGATGACGGGGTCAAGCTGCGAAGCTGCCGGGATATCCCCCACAGCATTTTGTGAAACTGGAAGTACCCTGGAGGGGGTATCCCTTCGGGTCAAGAGGACTCCTTCAGCACGCTGGTTAGCTTGTGAAAGAATCAGCATGCATGAAGAGTGGTGGAGATGGAGAATGAAAGCATGAAAGCATGGATTCTAAAAACCGGTTTTCAAACAAAGCTTGGAAAAGAGATTATATCTACTCCTTTGCTTTGGATTGATGAAGATCAGCCTCAAAGTAATGAGACCTCCACACTTTAACACCACCTTGAGAGGTTTAGAGAGTGGTCGTGGCTTTTAGAGAGAGTTTTGGTTTTGCTTTGAGTGAACAATGTGTGTTATGAACAAAAATGCAACCTTTTGCATTTATATATACTTGGGCAATTTTGCAATTATTTATTTTTCACTTCCAAGCCCAATAAAATCTTATTTTATAAAGGGACCACGAATTTATTATGTACCCTTTGAATAATCAATATTATTCAAGGGCCCATGTAAACTAACTAGTTACAATGACAACCCATAAAGTTACCTTTTACCCTTTAACTATTAAAAGGTTATTTTGTTCATCTCATTAATCTTAACACTTTAAGATTTAATCTTAACACTTTAAGATATAATAATTAATATAATTAATTATTGCTTGACCATTTAATCCTTAAAATGTCACAAATAGTTTTCTATGTAACTATTACCATAGAAATCCCGTTATTACCCTCGGAAGGTGCTAGCCCTCTTCGGATAATCATTTCTCTCTCTCATCCTTCTCTAACTTCTCAAGGCTATTGGTGTGACCATGTAGGTCCACCGTGGATTAGCGTGGGCCGGTTCTGGATGAATCCGAAAACCTGTCGGAGGCCCAACGACTATGTTAAACATCTAGCAATGTGCCATAGTCCCTAAACCACGATAAAGAAATACTTCATCGAACCATTTTAGATCATAGTACCATGCAGGTAAAGTCCCCCATTGAGATATCCTAATCGAGTATGGATTCATGGAACGTCAAAATCAAACTTGATTCTACCGAATTGTCGATCAAATGTCCGAAACTGTCATCACAAACTTACTTTTGTATGACTAATAATAGACTCTGGCCAGAGATTCAGTTTTCTGACATTTATCGATGTTTGTCTAGGAACTCGAATCCGGATGGAGTCAGCGGTACTCCTGATCTTATATTTCGAGTCAATGGATCCCTCTTGACCATCGTTCGTTTCCGCATATGAACAACGCATGACCAATAGGCTTATTGTACGAAACATGATTAGTCTCGTACTTATACACCGATGAACCATACGCATCCATATCGGATCCGACTACAATGTCTCAGGTCAAAGGAACATCGTGCAGATATAACCAAACGATAAATCATTGACTACATGCTTTTCCAAGTGATTTGTCGCTATCGGTCAGTTCGAAAAACAGTTCACCAACCGTAATCCATACCAATGCCCAGTGACATGACTATCATCGTCATCCGTACTTATATCAACTCATGATATCTTTCGGAAGCATCTGGTAGTCTACTGTGCAATATAGTTGCCAAATTTATATTGCTTCCGTAGGGAACCCTTTTCGATAATTCATTTACCTATTAAATGAATCATCTGGACAATTCATATACACACTTTATTTTAATGCATGACTGAATAAAGGAAGCAATTTACATATATGAATTGAAGAACTCTTTCTCTATTATTTATGATATATATAGATACAAGACAAAATGCTCTGAAACCGACAACACGATGGTTTCTAGGGCATACACTAATATACACTACAAGCTTGCTCAGGTTCAGATTGGCAGGCCATTTGCTGTGAGGACCAGTAGGTTGAAGATTCCTGATGAAGGATGAACACCAAATCAGCCCTCCTTCTAGCGTCAAACTGTTGATGCGTGATTCTAACACCAACTAATCGACACATGTGTAACGTTGATTGGTAAGAGACACACGTGATTATGAACAGAGAATGTGAAATGAATGCAATGAAAGCCTTTTAAAATGGTTCAGATGCTAAGGTAGTAAGTCCTACGTCCACTAATTTGTTTAGTATGGTGGGTCAAGTCGCAACAGCGGACGACTTACAAATGATTAGGAAAAGTAATTATAAAGTTTGCAAGAGAGTTTTTGTGTAAAAATGGCCGAATCCCTTAATGAAGGGGTCTCTCCCTTTATAATCATGAGGGCGTGTAATCATCATTAAATCCATGGGTTGGTGTGAGTGTCAGGACATAATCGGGCTTTCGTCCATTACCCACTCCCAAGCTGATTTCACCGATTCTTGCAGGAAAATGGACACGTGGGAGCTCCAACACGTTGGCAGGCCTGACGTGTACTTACCGCTCTGACGGGAGCAGGTCACACTGCTTCACGTGACTTCCACGTCAGCCCTTGTTCTCCTAGGCATAACAAAGTCTAATTTTTACTTTAGATCAAATTTATGGACATCATAATGGAAGGAGATACCAAAATAAAAAAAAAAGATAAATAATCTGATCGCTTTTTTTTTTTTTTTTTTTATTATTTCTCTTAAGGAACCTAGCAAATTCATCATCCATGTTAACAGACATTTTAAGTTACGGTTATCTAACGAATAACATTCTGCATAAAGACAAAAACACCCTTCAACATCCTGCAAGTTGAAGTGAATTCAGATTTGAACCAATGCTGCGTCACCCGTAACTTTCTTCATATGTCTTGCGTGCATAACACATCAGACCTCAACCCGTCTACCTTATTCATTAATTTCAAATAAGCCGAGCCCATAGTATGAATAACGCATTTATACACATTTATACGCATTTAATGCAATTTTTCAAGTGGATGGAGGTCTACTCGCCGAAAAGCTCTGTCCATCACCAACCCAAGCCGCCGCCATTACCAACCACGATGCTGCAGTCATGGATTGCAAAGTTTTTGGTAAAGGCTTGAGAATTCGCGATGGAGGTGGCTACAATGGTGGCGGTGGAGGTGGCGGCCTTGCGTATTCAGCGGTGGCGATTAGGTTTGAGAAACAAGTAAACAAAGTAATCGAATTGACACAAATGCCCTTACTCCGTTAAAAAGTATTTAACGCCGGTTAGCGGCAGGGATGATTTTGCTAGTTCACAGAAGAGTTGTCATTGACAACAGAGACAAAATCCCCAGGGACTAATCTGAATTAGCCCTAGCATTAGCATGATTGTTTGATTAATTGTTTTTGGACCGTATGTTAGTACATGAATGATGAATTGGTCAACTCAAAGTACTCGAGTAACAATAAATAGTTATCCATATCAATTAATTTATTTACCATTTTTTTTAATGATCGGTGTTGTTCAATTCAACTTATATGTACCTCAACTAATCTTCGGGACCTTGGAACTATCGGCTAGGTAAGAGTTCCAGTGGTTACCTCTATTAGCACCAGATGAGTGACTCGAACTTGTAACATCTTGAGTAATACACTCAAAAGTTCCTATTGAACCGCTCAGTTATCCAAAAGTAATTTTATTTATCATATTGGTGACGAATCTCGCATGCAATTTCAAACAATTAAATCATTTTAGTATCATGTTATATTAAGTTCGGAGGTGTATTATGACGTTCTAGATTGCTAACCATGGAGAAAGTAGTTAGTTTATTATTATATAATTTGAGTTACTTCAACTAACTAAACATGACATGAGTTTTGACAGTCTGTGATACAATTGGTTTCTCATGATCCATAATAAAGCTTCTCCTTTTCAAGTCTTTAATTACCTAAATTACGACTTAAAAAAAGACACAAACAGTTCAAGCCCTCAACTGCTCTTTCAATAAAGACTCCACCTAAACTACTACTTAAATAATTCACATGATCCTGAGTTTGAATAGGAGCTGTCTAACGTTCTAATATCCCTTCTTATCCTAATAACTCGATATCTCCTCACTTGAAATGATAGAATGTTCTTATTTTAATTTTCAACCTTTTTCTGAATCATGGGTATGTAAGTTTGAAATTAGGAGATGTTATATATATCATCATTAATAATCATCCATTCTTCTTTGTCCTTTCGAGGTTGATTTTCATTTACCTTATCCTCTCGACCATATTTATTTATTTACCATCATGACGATTAATGACCTGTTCCCGTAATTAAATATGTAATCCAGTTGGCTGGTTGCTTAGCTATAGATAATACCGCGCAGGTAAGGCTTTTGGTTTACTTTTGGGGCTACTCTTGTTACACCAGTATTTCATGGTCTAAATTGCTCCTATCTGAAAGTCTAAGAGGTTGAAAGTGTATGGATTTAGCAAAAGAAACTTAGAAAAGAGAGTCAGTGGGTAGATTTTTGCTTGTCAGTCGCCCGTTATCTGCAAGTCAAGAGTTCCTATTCTTAAATATGATCAAGTTTGGTAGATATATAACATAAAACGACGTAGTCTACAGTACTTGATTTCATATTTATAATATCGTCCGCCTATTGTACAAGTTACTTCTATATTTGTTCTGATACATTCTGTTATAGTCTTTCAAGGACACTTCTAGGCTTCTTTTGGTAAACTCAGTTGCATGGCTGTTTGTTTGAGTTCTTGTTCTTTATCTTCTTCGACTAGCTATTTAGCACCGTATAATTTGTCACATCATGAGAACTTAGCAACCAGAGTGTGTTTCTCATGCGATTATGTCGATCATGGGAGAACCAATCAAAGCAGGCGTTTTGCGCTCAAAGCATCTATTGTGCAGCCACTGAATGCCGTTTCTCTGCACGCTGGTAGTTTCAATTATGCCACTTCAGATGTTCTCATTTGATAAATGATGATCTTTCAGAGAAAGATGTCTTTAATCTTGCTTCTTAAATAACATGGTTTGATAGCTAAGATTGGCTTAATTTTCACTGATTATTTTTGCTACATTAACAAAAATGCTTTGTGAATTTTTCAAATTTTGTGTGAAAATAATTTCTTTCTCCAGGTCAAAGAAGTTTAATCTTCTGTTCAAAATTGAAAACTTGATAGCTAACCATTTTCAATCAACTAAGTTTAATGAGTTGACTTTCTGTTAGCTAGAAGATTTGATGTAGTGGTTTGGATAATTTCTTTTTAATTTAAGACGCATTTATGATACAGATACAGTAGTGCATACTCCGGCTGCAGAACATGTTGAGATTCCAGCAAAAGAGGGATATATTCCCTTCTTCGACAGCGACACAGAAGAATCGACTCTCAGCATCATTGTTATCGGAGCTTCAGGGGACCTTGCCCGGAAGAAAATCTTCCCTGCACTCTTTGCTCTTTTTTACGAAGACCGCCTACCTGAGGTTTGATTTAGCATCTCATCAATCTTAAAACATAGATCTTGCCATCCGTTTTATTCGTACAAATGCTTATGGGGTCTTTAATTTTGTTAATTTTGTTACTTTCGCACAGAATTTTACAATTATTGGCTATGCACGGACTATAATGACTAGTGAGGAGCTGAGGAATATAATAAGCACAACCTTGACTTGTAGAATAGACAAGAGGTCTCTCATCTTTTCTATTATTCCTTTTACAATACTTTGAATCATTATCTTCGACTCGATCTCGTTAATCAAAGTCTGACTGAGATAGATTACAGGGAAAATTGTGACGAGAAAATGGATCAGTTCTTGAAACGATGCTTTTACCATTCCGGTCAATATAGCTCAGAGGAACACTTCTTCGAATTGGACAGAAAGCTGAAAGAGAAAGAGGTATTTTGATGGAATAATACTCTTTTAAGGATTTTTTTTTTTTTATTGTAACACAACTATTACCGTAAATACTAATCACTTGTGCTAGTCTGAGGCTTAATTGAAATGAAATGGCTTGTTCTTTCTGTTATTCCGGCTGTGCGTCAGTTTCAATTTCACCAAATCTAAGTTCTGATGATTCATGGGAAACATTTTCCAGGCTGGAAGACAATCAAATAGGCTGTTCTACTTGGCAATTCCACCAAACATGTTTGTGGATGTGGTGAGATGTACTAGACGCCGAGCTTCTTCAGAAGATGGATGGACTCGAGTCATAGTTGAGAAACCATTTGGTCGTGACTTGGAGTCATCCAGAGAGCTGACTAGAGAGCTAAGGCAATATCTATCTGAAGACCAAATATTCAGGTATAGTTTCTTTTTCGCATTCTGGTTCAACCAGTCTATTTTTAGACGCATTGACATTGTCAATTACTACACAGAATTGATCATCATTTAGGTGAGGAGCTTGTGGAGAATCTATTGGTACTTCGTTTCTCAAATCTGGTATTTGGGCCTTTATGGTCCAGGAACTACATTCGCAATGTTCAATTTATCTTCTCTGAAGATTCTGGAACAGAGGGAAGAGGCAGGTTAGTCCAATAAGTATGTTCATTGCTGATAATTTAATGTCACTCTCCCGGATAAGATTAATAGTTGCTTACCTCTCATAGATACTTCGATAATTATGGAATCATCCGGGATATAATGCAAAATCATCTTCTTCAAATACTAGCACTATTTGCCATGGAAACACCTGTCAGCTTAGATGCCGAGGACATTAGAAACGAAAAGGTATTACGAATTTCTTTTCAACATAATCATTTCCAATTTCCACCAAATGAATCTGTTAAAAAAAATTCTTACCTTAATTGTCTGATCAGACCTCTGTGGCTTTGAAACAGGTAAAGGTTCTACGTTCGATGAAACCAGTTAAGCTTGAAGATGTAGTTGTAGGTCAATACAAGGGGTGTTGCGAGGGAGATACATCATATCCTGGTTATACTGATGACCCATCAGTTTCAGATGATAGCCTCACACCAACATTTACAGCCGCAACTCTCTTTGTTAACAATGCTAGATGGGATGGAGTTCCTTTCCTGATGATAGCAGGCAAGGCTCTTCAATCAAAAAGGTGGGTACAATATGCAGTAGTTTTGTTTAATAACGTTGAATTGAAAAAGGGAATGATCTAATTATAAGTTTTCTTATATGAAACTTCAGAGCAGAAATTAGAGTACAGTTCAAACATGTCCCAGGTAACTTGTATAATAAGAAGTTTGGAACTGATTTAGGGCAGGCCACGAACGAACTAGTGATTCGTGTACAACCGGATGAAGCAATATATCTGAAGATCAATAACAAGGTTCCTGGTCTTGGTATGAGACTGGATCGCAGTGACCTTAATTTGCTCTTCAAAGCAAGGTAAGAAATAAACTACTTATAATAACATAAATTAGAAAATTAATGCAACAAATATATATAGTGATTGAGCTGGGGTTCTATTTATTAATGAAGGTATCCAAGAGAAAGTCCAGATGCATATGAAAGACTAGTATTGGATGCCATAGAAGGAGAGCGAAGATCATTCATTAGAAGCGACGAACTTGATGCAGCTTGGGAAATATTCACGCCATTGTTGAAAGAACTGGAGAAAAAGAAGATTGCCCCAGAACTTTACACATATGGTAGTAGTGGCCCCGTTGGAGTGCATTATCTTGCTGCTAAGCACAATGTTCGCTATGAAGATTATTGTTGATGATTATGATAAATTAGAAAACTTTATTTAAATAAAAGTACGTATTTAAATATTAAACTAAATGAATATGCTATATATAAATGTGCATTTACAATATCACACCAATAAATTACATTACACCAATCTACATACAAACAAATACAAATTTTAAAAATTATGGCTGCGTTTGTTTCAGTTTTGGGAATACTACTTTTAGTATTCCCAAAAAAGTTAAACAGTAAAATACTCAAAAACTCAGATTTTTTGGAATACTACTCCCAATATTATTCAACTTTTTTTAAACCCCTTAAATTTGATAATTTAATTAAATACCCCTAAATATTTTTTTAAAAATTATAAAAACACCCCAATAATCCACATTTACCAGATTCTGACCACCACCACCGGAAAATGGCCGGAATCTGGTAGGATGGCGCACTACCAGCTGAATCTGGCCGGTAGTGCACCAATCTAGCCTTTTCCGGCCAGATCCACAGTGGATCTGGCCGGAAAAGGCCAGATCTAAGGCCAAAGATCTGGCCGTAACAGTCGGTCACGACGGCCAACAAACAGTCGTCGTTGACCATCAACGACGACCGTTTGTTGGCCGTCGTTGAGAGCAAATACGGCCAGATCTGGCGGTTGACAGCCAGATCTGGCCGTAGATCTGGCCTTTGCCGGCCAGATCCACCGTGGATCTGGCCGGAAAAGGCCATATCGGCACATGACCGGCAAGATCCAGCCGGTCATGCGCCCATAAGGTGACTTTGGCCACCTCCGGTGGTGGTGGCTGACTGGGGGTGTTTGAGGGTGGGTTAGGGGTATTTTTGTTAACTTTTAATGTTTTATTATGGGGGTATTTTGTAAAAAAATAAATATATAGGGTATTTTATTAATTTATAAATCCTACATGGTAATACCGGCCCAATTCAATTTTTTTTTAACTTTTTTCAAAAATCTTTTCCCAAAACCCCCAAATTTTGAACCAAACAGAGCCTATATTTCTTCAAAACATAAACCCANGGCCATTCATAGGTTATGGACAGTTGTCCTTAAATATTGGACGAGCATTCATATTTTAATGGACGCCCATCCATTAACAATTCTTTTTAAAAAATTACTATGTTATAATTTATTTAGAATTTATTATAAAAAAAAATTATTCCATTTTACTGATGGACGCATGTCCTTTAAATGGGGACATTCGTCCGTAGTAAATAAAACCACGTCCATATAACATGGACATGAGTCCATATAAGTGAACGACCATCCATATTTGATGAATGACCGTTCACTAGAAAAAAATTTAATAACGTGAAATGTGTCTGATTTACTGGTGTGAATCACGGGACACGTAGACCAGTATAAGATTTCGGTGTAAAAATATCAGTGTCTTTAGCATTGTTGCTCAATTAAACCACTATATATATATATATATATCAATTAAATCACTATATTTGATATATATATACGGACACTGGTATTTTTATATCGGAATCTTATACTAGCCTACGTGTCCTGTAATTTATACCAACAAATCAAACACATTTCACGTTATTAAATTTTTTCTAGTGAATGACCGTTTATCAAATATGGACGACTGTTCACTTACATGGACTCCCGTCCATATTATATGGACGGGAGTTCATGTAAGTGAACAGTCGTCCATATTTGATAAACGGTCATTCACTAGAAAAAATTTAATAACGTGAAATGTGTTTGGTTTGTTGGTGTGAATTACGGGATACGTAGGCTGGTGCAAAATTTTGGTATAAAAATACTTGTGTCCGTAGCATTATTGTTTAATTGAGATTATAACCGATTTAGAGGTAGCTATTTAAGAATTTAATTAAATAAATACAAAGCTTTTATTATTATTTATTTGACACAGTTATCTAAAATAATTAAAATAAATAAAATATATTTACAATTAAATAGGATAAAGAGTAAATATTTTCCCAAATTGTAAAAGTAAAACTGGCGGCACTTTTATCCTTCTATATCTTTTCAATGGCGCNTCTCTTACATCAAAAATATTCCCATACACAAGCTTACAACCATCCAAATCAATCTCCCACCCTTCATTCTATCGACTCCATTCTGATCATCAGCGGTCGCATCAGCAGAATCATCTTCCGGCGCATCAGCCTCCTCCTCCCCCTTTTTCTTCTTAGCCGCCTTCGGTGCAGGCGCCACAACCTCCTTCTCAGGCTTAAACAGCTCTCTAGGTAACAAAACCTTGTTAACCTTATAAATCATTAACGGCTCTTTATCCTTCACCGTTCCCGTTATCCTCGCCGTCATAACTTTCGTCTCTAATGTCACTACCTCGCCGTCATTCTGCACCGTGAAGTCGTACTTGTTCGCGCCGTCCGTCGCTAATGTGTTCATAACTCCGTTACTTGACTTCAACATCTGCAGGGACTGGTACACCGGAATGCCGTGATACAACAGTAATGACAACTTGTGCGCTGCCGTCAGGTTCTTGTACTTGGGCATGAAACCGTTAAGGACGGTGTCGGAAGGACAGAAGACCGTTAATCCGCCGTCGAGATTTTCCTCGAAAGTTGACTGAGCTCCGGTGGCTATTAACAAGTCGGCGAAGGCTTTGCAGCCTTGCTTCGCCATAATAGCCGTTAGATTGAGATCGCTTGGTCCAGGAGTTGGGGCTTCAGCTTCAACTGAGTTTAGAGGCTGAGAATAAATTTAAAATAAAGTTAAGATTAAGTTTGAAATATATTATACGTTAAATACAAATTTAATTAAAAATATTCGATGTGTCCCTCAAATATTAATTTAAAAGCAACAAAAATGAGTTTTCTCTTGCATATATTAGTAAATAAATTATTTAATTTTGAAAAATATATAAAATTTAATTTATTATCTTCTCTAAAACTCTGTATAGTATATCCACTAGGAATATATAGAAATTAATTTAAAATAATGAATAATTACGTTGTAATAAAAAATTTTGAATAATTAACAACCTGGCTAATCTGCAAAACGGAGATATTGTAGGGCATCTCCACCAAAGACTTGACGTAACTAGCATCAAGCTTGCCGTCATTATCTTCAGTGCCAAACCCAACTTTGCCTCCTTTAATATCAGTAATATTAACGTAACCGGACGAACCAGCAGCTGAACCGGTGGCCTGGAACATACTGGAAGCCAAAGCAGTGCCATTGGTTATCTGATGGAGCTTCTTAGAGCCGAAGTAGTCGGTGAGGACATGGAGCGAGAGAACGTTCCTGAGAGTATAGACGGAGTATTGTTTTGAAAGAAGTGATGACATGGCAGCATTGTCGAGAGCGAGGACGGTGATGGTCTGACGGCGGTTAATTTCGGCGGCCAGGTGGGTGACGGTGAGGTAGTGGTTGAAGGTTGAGAATTGCGGGTGTTTGGCAAGTATGCGGGTGATGTTGTGGGCGTGGGAGGTGGAGGTGGAGGAGAAGAGGAAAAGAGTGAGAAGAAGAGGGAAGAGGACGGCGGTGGTGGTGAGTGGTGCCATGGTGATGGAAGTGGGGCTGTGTTTGTACTTTGCATGTGTGTTATTATAAGTAGTGGGGGATTTGGGAGTATGTGTTGGATAATTTAGTGCCAGCTTGGTAAGTTGGTAGTAATCAGGGCCCACAGTGTGGGTGGGTCCAGTCACCATTGTGGTGTCTGTTATCACAACGTTACAACAGTGTTTTTTAAATGTAATATGATTTTTCCGTCTTTCAATTTAAATGTAAAATGAAACCGACAGCTGAATCCATTCATCATCCACAATGATGAAAATGAAAATTTATGATTTTTAATTGAGGCCTTAATTAGGCAACGAACAACATTATTATAATTGCTATTTCAGTCCAATTTAATTTGTATAGATTGATATGTATGTGTAATTGTCTCAAAATATTAGTAGCTTTATTTATCCATATAAAATAAGTTATAGAATAGGTTAAATCTGAATAAAATTAATTTTTTCAAGTTCCTTAATTTACTAAGCCTACCTAAATGTCATAAATTAATTGACTTTGTTGAATAATAAACAAGACGAGGTCGTTTTCTAATGTCTGCTTCTGCTAAACACCTCATGCATAAATAATGATGNAAAAATATATAAAATTTAATTTATTATCTTCTCTAAAACTCTGTATAGTATATCCACTAGGAATATATAGAAATTAATTTAAAATAATGAATAATTACGTTGTAATAAAAAATTTTGAATAATTAACAACCTGGCTAATCTGCAAAACGGAGATATTGTAGGGCATCTCCACCAAAGACTTGACGTAACTAGCACCAAGCTTGCCGTCATTATCTTCAGTGCCAAACCCAACTTTGCCTCCTTTAATATCAGTAATATTAACGTAACCGGACGAACCAGCAGCTGAACCGGTGGCCTGGAACATACTGGAAGCCAAAGCAGTGCCATTGGTTATCTGATGGAGCTTCTTAGAGCCGAAGTAGTCGGTGAGGACATGGAGCGAGAGAACGTTCCTGAGAGTATAGACGGAGTATTGTTTTGAAAGAAGTGATGACATGGCAGCATTGTCGAGAGCGAGGACGGTGATGGTCTGACGGCGGTTAATTTCGGCGGCCAGGTGGGTGACGGTGAGGTAGTGGTTGAAGGTTGAGAATTGCGGGTGTTTGGCAAGTATGCGGGTGATGTTGTGGGCGTGGGAGGTGGAGGTGGAGGAGAAGAGGAAAAGAGTGAGAAGAAGAGGGAAGAGGACGGCGGTGGTGGTGAGTGGTGCCATGGTGATGGAAGTGGGGCTGTGTTTGTACTTTGCATGTGTGTTATTATAAGTAGTGGGGGATTTGGGAGTATGTGTTGGATAATTTAGTGCCAGCTTGGTAAGTTGGTAGTAATCAGGGCCCACAGTGTGGGTGGGTCCAGTCACCATTGTGGTGTCTGTTATCACAACGTTACAACAGTGTTTTTTAAATGTAATATGATTTTTCCGTCTTTCAATTTAAATGTAAAATGAAACCGACAGCTGAATCCATTCATCATCCACAATGATGAAAATGAAAATTTATGATTTTTAATTGAGGCCTTAATTAGGCAACGAACAACATTATTATAATTGCTATTTCAGTCCAATTTAATTTGTATAGATTGATATGTATGTGTAATTGTCTCAAAATATTAGTAGCTTTATTTATCCATATAAAATAAGTTATAGAATAGGTTAAATCTGAATAAAATTAATTTTTTCAAGTTCCTTAATTTACTAAGCCTACCTAAATGTCATAAATTAATTGACTTTGTTGAATAATAAACAAGACGAGGTCGTTTTCTAATGTCTGCTTCTGCTAAACACCTCATGCATAAATAATGATGTCCACATTTATTCAATTTATTAATTTGTATTAATAATATAGATGAAATAGAAGTGGTTAGTGTGTGGGAACCATAGCCATACTGTCGGTTGCAGCGTACACCCAAGAAAAGCCAGGCTGGGACTCAAAAAAGTCAGAAGATGCCGTATCAAATTGGGCCACGTGGACAGTGATGCTTTGCAGTGACATGTCAGCAGATACCACCACCGACGATCTCTCACAATTATTTTGACGGTTGAGATTTTGTTTTCAACCCAATTTCTATTTTCGTTTTGGATTACAGCTGTTGTTACTTTTGTACCTACTCTTATTTTGTCCTCTTCTAAATGCTGATTAACAGCTTAATTAATATAATAGAGCAAACAACTTTTCCCACCCAAGGTTTGCCTAAATGACACTTACACACCCAAAAAGTTTCAAAATACAATTTCTCATCCAAACTTAATATCTCATTAATGCCTAAAATATACATCACTTTCTCAGCTAGCATTCGACAATTTACCAGAAGTTAAGGTAAGAGAGATTTTGTAGAGTGAAGGTTGTTGGATCTAATGGTGGTGACTGGTTGAATATTCACCGTCGAAATTAGTTGAAAATCAACTAAAAATTAAAACCTTAGCTTTTCAGTAGCCAGTAGTTAACGAGAAATCATGTGTCGAAATAAGAAAGATTTTATAGAAAAGAGATTGGAGGTTTAAATGGTGATGACGGAGAGAATTTTTATCATCGGAATCAGTTTTGGATAATAACGGAATATTAACTTTGGGTGGGAAAATGATATTTTGAAATCTTTTTGGTGGGAAAGGGTCATTAAGGTAAACCTTGGGTGGGAAACATTCTTTACTCATTAACATACGCATATCAATTTGTAATAATATATCAATCTATAATTGAAAAAAATCTGTAGATATTTAAGAGTCCAATTAGTGTGACTTTGAATTTATAAAATCTATAATTGAAAAAAATCTGGAAAAGATATTGTCCTGGGTCCAAATCAACCTACTTATTACAAAGGTAGGGAACAATAATAATATTGTTGATAAAACATTCCACTTCTATTTCCAATCACTGCCTTGGTTCTTCAAACATTCTCTTCGTGTCATGAAGGAGATGCTGATAATCGTGCGAATCTCAATTTGAATAGGTAGTGCTTATATACATATCATATATATGAAAATATACATTTATAAAGTTTTTCTACTACTGAAATGGTACATATTTATGTGGGTCTTCTGCTACTTTGGTTTGAAATACCAAAGAGAAACTAGAGAATCTGCTGGTTGAGTTTTACGAATAGGAAGACTAAATCGAGAAAGAAAATAACAATCAAACAAAATAGCTGAGTGTAATTTAAGCTGATCGATGTCCTCCCTGTGCAGCCAGTCGAAGCCCCAAATTAGCTTTCCAACTGTAGCTAGATATTTATGAATAAGCTGATAGCTATAGATACCTTTGTTAAAAATAATTATCTAAAGACTATATATATATATATGAGGCAGGCAACTGGTAGGTAAAGATTGAATCTTCTCTCTTATGCTTCTCTTTTGGAACAACAACGTGGTGGGGAGATCTCTTTGGAAGACTATCAAAAGCTAGAGCTTGTGCTTTGCTGTTTTAGTGAACTTTGTAGGACCTCCATAATTTACAAGAACCTTGTATCTTGCTACCTTTTCTACTTTTAAGTTTTAACAAATCACATTACAAAAGAATTTCTATACACGTTCCACCANTTCATATTAATACTTTGTGAAGTGAGACAGGTTTTGATAAATATATTAATGGTGGTTTTGGTTATTTTGATATATACACCAAGTTTTATATAAAACTTATCTTCCATACAACCAAATATTCTTTTTATTAAATGTATAAATAATTTAAATAGTTTCATTAACGATGTCATCATCGTCATCTAAAATATACGTACAAGTTCATATATAAAAATATGTAACATTATCAATTTTTATAATATCTCATATCTCATACCTAAAATCACTTAAATTTTATAAAGTGTTAGTTTTAAATCATCATAGAAAAGACAAAAACCTTGGAGATCCTTTAAAATACAATTTTTATTTTACAAAAGCTCATACTCTTAGCTCGCTGAAGAGTTCTTTTAAGTTAGCTATTGGTTTAAAGTTCCATTTACTATTGATTTTAGTGGTGTGATTATCACTATATTTGACTATAACTATTTAATTCATAAGTAATAAAAATATAATTACTTACAAGATAAATTAGAATATCTATAGCTGCATANTTTTTTGGAGTTGCAGAGAAGGAGGGAGATGTTGGGTCCGTTGGATTAAGGGGGTAATAATACATCGGGTGTGACACGTGGGGTTATATTGGCCGTTTATTTGTCGATAAGAGTGGAATGCGTGTGAAATTGTAGAGGGTAGGATTTGTTGGTGGGGTGGAGGAACGGAGGGGTGAAAAGATGACACGTAGTGGGAGTGAGAGTAGGGGAGTTGGTGTGTTATGTTTTTAGAATCTGAAGGCGGCTGCTGCGGCTTGAAGCTAGAGGAGGGAAGTTGATTATCCAAATCTGACCGTACAAGTTTAGACGTGGTAGTAGGGGAAGCGTTGATTAATATAAATAAACAAAACTAGTTGATAAATTAGTTTCAACTGGAGAGTGGACTTAAAAGATTTTAGTTGGGAATCCAAAATTCAGTTAAATCTATGTTTAATTAGGTAAAACAGAGTCAGTGGAAAGGATGTGATGGTTTGGTTTTATATAATAAGATAAGAGCAGTTGTTTCAACGCTAAAAGCAGGGAAAATAATGGAAACATTATATAGAGGACAGGGATGGGAGGAGGAAGAAGACAAAGTAGGAGCATGAAGAGGTAGATTTCCCATACTGCTTCTCAGGCTCATTAATTCAATTCTTGGTTCCCATGGCCATGGCCATGGCCATATCTCCACCAGGTGATGATCACTGTTTTGCACAAATGGAAAGAATTACTTGGTTTGACTTCGCTTTCGGTATCTTTGGTATAGTATCTTGTTTGACTTGGTTTAGTATTCAGATTTCGTACACACCTCTTTCTCCGCTTTACATGCCTTCTCTCTCGTTATATGTTTAAAAGAGAGTAACGTTACCCAATAAATCTTTCTTTCTTCCACACAAATGCAGATCTCTATTCCTTTAGGTGATTGTTGGCACAACAATAGAGATCGATAGCCAGTCTGCTTCAACAATCTTCGCATAATAATAATACAACTCCAACAAACAGTCAAAACATATGACAGTGAATATTATCCCAAAGAGATGGATCAGAGGACCAAAACCAGGATGATGGAATAACTAAACACCCTTCATTAACATGAACCCTGCACCATGTGAACTAACTAAGCTGTACAAGAATATTAGCAGTTTCCTATATACCAAATGTATTATAATGTCTCTACTGTATCTGATCAAAATCTGTGAAATACATCTAAAATCATGCTCTAATCTTGGCACTGAGTTGTCTCCAGGGACCCACAAAATGTTAGGCCTGAAACATGATATCATACCAAATGGACAACAAAAAGAAACATCAGTGGAAAAAGAAATTAATAAAGCAAGCGGAATTCAATCAATGGTGGCCACAGCCTTTGAACTTTTAACACTTTAATGTGCACAATTAAGAGATAACTAATAAAGTGGCCGTGATACAAGTTCTTTAATGGGTATCCAATGTTTTTTAGTGCAAGATTGAACATAAAATCAGAAGCTTCACAGTTAACAACTATATATATATATATATATATTATAACACAGCAGCACAGCGGTATAAAATGTTTGAAACTTTCCCCTAATCTGTAACAACAAATCCCTGATCAAGGATCAAAAACTTTTAAAATTACTGATGATCAAGCTGTAACTCTATTAAAAGATCAATAATTAAAACTCATGCTTCAATCTCAAACCTTGAACACTTGATGGAGCCCATGGATATGTCAATCTCAATCAAGTTGTCTTCTTCATTCATGTCATTAATCTCTGCCAAGAGTTCCATTAAACTATGTTGCTTCAGAATGGACTGCTGCAAACTACTAAACTTGGGCACAACTTCTTCCTTATGCCCAACATAGTGCCCACTCGGAAGAGCAATTTCAATGAGACTTTCTTCATCAGAAATAGATCCATCAGAGCAATCTGGACTCTGGTACACAATATCTCTGAATGGCCAGTCCACTTCAGAATCTTCACTAGTTGACAACTGATTAAAGCTTTCGCTTTCTGATAGCAAATCAGGTGACGATCTGTTTGAGTAGTCATGATGAATCTGATGCCCTATCGATTCTCCTTCTTGTTCTTCTTCCTTGTGCGGTGTCACAGTTTCATTTTCAGGCTGCTTCATTGATACATCGTCCTGGAGATCATCAGTTGACTCAGGAATAGCCTCTTCAGTGACTGAGTTGTTTACTACTGAAGCTGGTTTTTGCTTTGTGAATGTGAAGAAAACGGTGGATATAATCAATACTATAGCTGTGAGAAGTACTGATGATAAGAACCCAAAGCTGAAAAAACCAGCAAAAACTGGAGAAAGAACAAGAACAACAACCCATGATATTAATGGCTTTTTAAAGAAACAGAAAGGAGAAGCCATTTGATGATCTTGATCAGTTCTGTTTTCCAAGTCCTTCATGGACTAAGAAAAGGTACCTCTTACTTTAAACTGTTATTAATTTACAAAAAGGTTATTTCTTTTTCTTTTTATTGGACTCACGGATCTGCAACTAAGATCTACTGGCGATAGAAAGAGATGATGAAAAATATTTACACAATCAAGAAACAGAAAAGCACTGTAATTTTTCTAGCTAGCTCCATTGAGAACTAATTAAGTAAGATACTGTGGTGATGATCATAATAGCTACACATAAAACTGGTCCAGTAAATTTAAAAATGGAGCTAGCGAATGCAATCGAGGAGACTTAAGGACAACTACAGAATCTTGAAGAGCATGAAATTAATCTCAAATAACCTTTTCCTACTCAGATATCATGCACGAAAAACAAATAACAAAAAAGGAAAGGTGGGTTTATATGAGATTTGAAGCTGCAGTGTGAAGATCAAATAAATAGGAATACTAAAACGGAATGAAGAAGGAGAAAATGTGAATTTATACTGTACTATTACCTGTGTTTTAGAGATTTGAGGAACACAGGTAATACCTGAACTGGCTTAGCAATGGGGAAAAAAACAAGTTACAATAAAGAAAGACAAAATTTAGAGCTGATATAAGTGGACCTGCAGTGAATGTGAAACTAAACTAATGAGTAGTGCAATTGGTTGTTTCTTTGATCACAGACTCACATTTCCCAAGCACCCCATTGCTCCTAAAGTACTGGGTTTTCTTTTACTATCACCAATCAGGTGGTGTTTCTCTGTGACTGATTCTCTTGAAAAACCCAAAACCCCTGGTTTCCCTGTATTGATTTACAGTCTCAATAGCTTGGGAATGAGAGAAGCCATGTGCAAACACCTGTGCTAACCACATGGCATTTTCCCTCCAACTTCAATCACTAAAAAACAAAACCCAAAACGAAGAGTAGCATTATATATTATTTTCCACTACTGCCATTTCCCAGCAACCCCAAGAACCCTACTGTTTGAATTTCAACTACTCTTCCTCAAACTGAAACTTCATCAAAGATGAACAATACACCATTTTGTTAAATAACTCAAAAAGACTAGCTTTCTCTGCAGAAACAAATTAAAAACTTCTCTCTAGTTTGTAACCATCATTTAGACCTCATGTTTTGCAATGGAGACTAAAATAATAAATGAGCAAGTTTATATTAACTAATTAACTTTTTAGCGACTAGCTTTTGGAAAGCATAAGAAGCACATGCAGTCAAAAAACATATTTCGGCTGTAGCTTTGTTGCAATGACATCAAAACTTTACATGAAATCCCATAAGACTAGTGTTAATTAATTGCGCATGTTGCTCTATATATCACCTGTTGTAGAAAACACTTTAATCTGGTAGCTAGCTAGTGACGGACCAATTACAAAAGGCTAGGTAGAGGAAAAGAAAACAACAAAGAACATTTTCTCATTAAACAACTGTGTGAGAAACAAAAGATAGAATATTCAGATGTGCAATCACTTCAACTGATAAAATCCAAACGTATCCACGAGTTTAACGACAATCCAAATATTCCCCCTAAACCAATCTTGAAGATAATGTTTTCTTTAATTATTAATTGGGTGTCATTCATATGTCAAATTCATCGCGTCAGAAGGTTGATGATATGTTAGGTAATTGATAATAATGATATCTGATTAAAATTCTATTGTAACCAATTCCAATTCTAGCAAAACATAATGCTACGGAAAGTACTCCTAAAATAAGTAAACCATAATGGTAATAATAATTCAATCAATGGTGGCCACAGCCTTTGAACTTTTAACACTTTAATGTGCACAATTAAGAGATAAAAAATAAAGTGGCCGTGATACAAGTTCTTTAATGGGTATCCAATGTTTTTTAGTGCAAGATTGAACATAAAATCAGAAGCTTCACAGTTAACAACTATATATATATATATATATATATTATAACACAGCAGCACAGCGGTATAAAATGTTTGAAACTTTCCCCTAATCTGTAACAACAAATCCCTGATCAAGGATCAAAAACTTTTAAAATTACTGATGATCAAGCTGTAACTCTATTAAAAGATCAATAATTAAAACTCATGCTTCAATCTCAAACCTTGAACACTTGATGGAGCCCATGGATATGTCAATCTCAATCAAGTTGTCTTCTTCATTCATGTCATTAATCTCTGCCAAGAGTTCCATTAAACTATGTTGCTTCAGAATGGACTGCTGCAAACTACTAAACTTGGGAACAACTTCTTCCTTATGCCCAACATAGTGCCCACTCGGAAGAGCAATTTCAATGAGACTTTCTTCATCAGAAATAGATCCATCAGAGCAATCTGGACTCTGGTACACAATATCTCTGAATGGCCAGTCCACTTCAGAATCTTCACTAGTTGACAACTGATTAAAGCTTTCGCTTTCTGATAGCAAATCAGGTGACGATCTGTTTGAGTAGTCATGATGAATCTGATGCCCTATCGATTCTCCTTCTTGTTCTTCTTCCTTGTGCGGTGTCACAGTTTCATTTTCAGGCTGCTTCATTGATACATCGTCCTGGAGATCATCAGTTGACTCAGGAATAGCCTCTTCAGTGACTGAGTTGTTTACTACTGAAGCTGGTTTTTGCTTTGTGAATGTGAAGAAAACGGTGGATATAATCAATACTATAGCTGTGAGAAGTACTGATGATAAGAACCCAAAGCTGAAAAAACCAGCAAAAACTGGAGAAAGAACAAGAACAACAACCCATGATATTAATGGCTTTTTAAAGAAACAGAAAGGAGAAGCCATTTGATGATCTTGATCAGTTCTGTTTTCCAAGTCCTTCATGGACTAAGAAAAGGTACCTCTTACTTTAAACTGTTATTAATTTACAAAAAGGTTATTTCTTTTTCTTTTTATTGGACTCACGGATCTGCAACTAAGATCTACTGGCGATAGAAAGAGATGATGAAAAATATTTACACAATCAAGAAACAGAAAAGCACTGTAATTTTTCTAGCTAGCTCCATTGAGAACTAATTAAGTAAGATACTGTGGTGATGATCATAATAGCTACACATAAAACTGGTCCAGTAAATTTAAAAATGGAGCTAGCGAATGCAATCGAGGAGACTTAAGGACAACTACAGAATCTTGAAGAGCATGAAATTAATCTCAAATAACCTTTTCCTACTCAGATATCATGCACGAAAAACAAATAACAAAAAAGGAAAGGTGGGTTTATATGAGATTTGAAGCTGCAGTGTGAAGATCAAATAAATAGGAATACTAAAACGGAATGAAGAAGGAGAAAATGTGAATTTATACTGTACTATTACCTGTGTTTTAGAGATTTGAGGAACACAGGTAATACCTGAACTGGCTTAGCAATGGGGAAAAAAACAAGTTACAATAAAGAAAGACAAAATTTAGAGCTGATATAAGTGGACCTGCAGTGAATGTGAAACTAAACTAATGAGTAGTGCAATTGGTTGTTTCTTTGATCACAGACTCACATTTCCCAAGCACCCCATTGCTCCTAAAGTACTGGGTTTTCTTTTACTATCACCAATCAGGTGGTGTTTCTCTGTGACTGATTCTCTTGAAAAACCCAAAACCCCTGGTTTCCCTGTATTGATTTACAGTCTCAATAGCTTGGGAATGAGAGAAGCCATGTGCAAACACCTGTGCTAACCACATGGCATTTTCCCTCCAACTTCAATCACTAAAAAACAAAACCCAAAACGAAGAGTAGCATTATATATTATTTTCCACTACTGCCATTTCCCAGCAACCCCAAGAACCCTACTGTTTGAATTTCAACTACTCTTCCTCAAACTGAAACTTCATCAAAGATGAACAATACACCATTTTGTTAAATAACTCAAAAAGACTAGCTTTCTCTGCAGAAACAAATTAAAAACTTCTCTCTAGTTTGTAACCATCATTTAGACCTCATGTTTTGCAATGGAGACTAAAATAATAAATGAGCAAGTTTATATTAACTAATTAACTTTTTAGCGACTAGCTTTTGGAAAGCATAAGAAGCACATGCAGTCAAAAAACATATTTCGGCTGTAGCTTTGTTGCAATGACATCAAAACTTTACATGAAATCCCATAAGACTAGTGTTAATTAATTGCGCATGTTGCTCTATATATCACCTGTTGTAGAAAACACTTTAATCTGGTAGCTAGCTAGTGACGGACCAATTACAAAAGGCTAGGTAGAGGAAAAGAAAACAACAAAGAACATTTTCTCATTAAACAACTGTGTGAGAAACAAAAGATAGAATATTCAGATGTGCAATCACTTCAACTGATAAAATCCAAACGTATCCACGAGTTTAACGACAATCCAAATATTCCCCCTAAACCAATCTTGAAGATAATGTTTTCTTTAATTATTAATTGGGTGTCATTCATATGTCAAATTCATCGCGTCAGAAGGTTGATGATATGTTAGGTAATTGATAATAATGATATCTGATTAAAATTCTATTGTAACCAATTCCAATTCTAGCAAAACATAATGCTACGGAAAGTACTCCTAAAATAAGTAAACCATAATGGTAATAATAACAGCAGGTTTAGAGCGAAAAGAAGAAATGAAAGCACATGCTGTTTGCCTGTATATCATTTATATGATAATCATTTTAGAACAATTAATAAATTTCATTCACATATATAGGACAGAAACCACACATCTTGCTATCTTACAAGACTAATTTACTTTATAACTTTAATCTTTTCAAAAGCAAATATATATGGTTCAATGCTCAAAATGAACATATTAGTAAAATTGGTTGGAGTGGGTGATGCTTCTGGGGCAACCCAAGCTGATAAAGAGAGTTACTACTCGTGATTCAGGCTCTTCTGTTTCCAGGCAGCGCCTCTAACGATGGTTCAATTAGAATGCTTTTTTTTTTTCTTTTTAACAGATGGGCCATCAATTAATGTGGCTCTCTCTACCAACCAAAAGTACTGCTAGCCCCACTCTTTCTGTTAGTGGCCGCTAGCTGCAAATGCAATGCATTAGTAGGGCTCAATTTAAACTGATATATGCTTATTATATCTTGGGAAATGTTAAAAAAGCAAATCAATTTGGTAAAGTTATAAAGCTTTGGTCATTTTTAAATCCATGCTCGCAGAAGATTATAATGTTAATTTTACTGTACGAAAATGAAACTCAAGAATTGTGAAGACTGTTTGAAGATGTGTGGTTTCAGACTTCCAGTCCCCACACACTTCATGAAATCATGCGGACTGCGGATGTAAGTTATTAGTAATGTTAAATTTGGAAAGATCGTGGACGATTCGATCTAGCGCCGATGAGCAGAAGCCATGTTCATATATAGCTACTAATATCTTTCACATGCAACAACCCTTTACTAATCATCACTGAATATTCTATGATACATGCATCTTTTTAGAAGGAGTATTTTAGGCGTAAAATAATGGAAAGTTCAACTGTAGGATGTGCGAGGTTGATCAGTAATATAAAAGAAATGCAAAAATGATGGTGCCACTTGTCGGCAAGTTGTGCAAATAAAGCAGTGCCGCATGAAACCCTAACTAGATTGCCTTTTGCCCTAAAATTTGACTACAACACATTGGAAACAAAGTGAAGAATGTTGAAGAAGCATTTGTCTTGAGAGATGAAGAAATTCGACCAGTATTGTTGGGGAGTGTAACTTACGGAATGTTTTAGCTGTGAATGGGAGGGGACCATATCTAAATCTTGATGAATGTTTCGTTGTTTTTGTAAATTGGATAACAAAATCTTCCCTTGATTCATGAGCCACCACTTGTTCTCATCTTTCAGAACAAACCAACCAACATTGCCCTCCATTATTATTCACTTTTGCCTTTCACCAACTCCATGTGGGCCTGCCTTCATTCAGCCCAAAACAATCTATACAAGAAGCCCTTGACACCGGATTAATGCTTTGGAATCAACAAAAGATGTGCTTTGGAAATTAATGGCAGACAAACTTAATAACAATGTTAAAATTATTCACTGATGAGACATAATTAAAACATGCAAAACACGGGTTGAGTTTATACCCTACGATAGGAAGGATCCAAATTATAGACATACGTATCTTTCTTCTTTGAAAATATCACCCCTAGATGAGAGAGCAAAAGAAGCTCCTGAGTTCAAGTCTCTTCGGACACTAATAGGAGTGTTCTTACCTGGCTGACAGTTCTAGAGTCTTAGAGGATTAATCACCCCAAGCACTAATAGGTGTAACTCTTATTCGATTGGCAATTACAAACTCTCAAATGATCAGTTGAAGTGTGTACAAGTTACCCTATATGTGTGTGTGTGTGTGTGTGTTTGTTTTACACATGGAAAATATGATAATTATGGTGAGCTAACATTTTTAAGTTAACATTGAACATTACAAGATTAAAGAGCAAAGGACATATTCCCACATGAGGTTTAGCTAAATTTCAAGTTGATATTCCTTATTGCATTTATTTTAGATTCTCACCGTTAAAGTAACACCGTTTAAGAGTGAAAATCTTAAATAAATACAACCAGGGAGAGATATATTTCTCTAAATCTGGGGTGGGAATATATCGTTTACTCAAGATAAAAAAGATGGACCTTATACCTTATTAAATCAGAATAAGTACCAGTTGAAGTGACAAAGAACCACTTCAAGGTTGACTAATCATGCCATGCACACACACATTACACATTAAGGTAATTAATTCAAGGAGAACTTTGTGGAACAATTAGTGTTCCTATCAGAAGAAGAATCTTTAAAAAGTGATGCCAACATTCAACAACCAAACTTTTTTCTTTAGTTGATATAAAAATGATTCTTCCTTCAATAAATTTGCCCAGGGAATATACACTCTCATTAGATTCTGAAAACCCATGTTTTTCATAGGCCACGTTGATATGACTCAACTCAACCAAAGAAATTTGCAAAACTTAGAAGCATCTCTTTGCTCAACTTTTAGCTTGTTATCATTGATTGGATGAACAAAAGAGATACCCACCTCCCCCACTTTCTTCCTATTTGTTACTTTAATCATCCTACATTCTTACACTTATTTTTTCTAAAAGACACTATCCATCTTTCATACTCAATAGGGTTAATTGAAACATTCTAATGCAACTACCAGACATTGTCGAGGAATATACGAGAATATTGACTCGATAAATATCATTTTGTTTTTGTTGAATTTTGATGAGAATTATTGATAAATTAGAGACAGCCCATGGGGGGAGAAAGAATTTGTATGAGTTATATAGTAATCTCTTGACATGTAGCACACAATAGGAGATTTTGCCACCATCTAAGACTACCATTTTTCAAAAGCTAAAGGAAAAAGAATCCAAGTAGGTTTTCTCTTTAACACTATTAAATATAATCACTTAATCAGAATTGTACCTTAAAACAAAAGAAATTCTTTCTTTACATAATGTGTAACTTGGGACTTGAGAATTCCCAATAATTTAGACATCACAAGAATAAAATATAATGCTTGTGAAAAAGAATTTTGTCAAAGATATTATTATAATTTATACATGAAATAACTATTTGGTGAATAGCCACAAAGCTTATCAAATATTCTCAAGGATATATTCGAAACGCATATCAACATCAGCTTATTTTTTAATTCAAGTCAAAATACATGATGACATGAAACTTGAGGTTTTCAACTATTTTAAAGCGAATAATTTTATAGAAATTTTAGTAATTATATTATCTTACATTTAAAGAGTAAAAAAATTAATTTGATAAATTGTATTATTACTTACCAGTCCATAATTTTGTAAATCATATGTATGCTATTATTAAATCAGGAAAAAACAAAATCACAAGAACACAAAATCTGATATTAACAGCTGACCTTATTGTTGCTGTTTTTGACAATTATTGATGGAGGAAGCCAAAGATTAGCAAATAAAATCATGAAACTTGATAAAGAAAAAAATATGCAAGGATAAATAGTAATACTCTATTAATCAGTAACGTGGCAGTCTACTATTTGTCACTGTACGAACTGCACTGAACAGTGTTGTAGTGGCAATCGACATTCTTTTATACCAAACATCAAGAGTCCAACACAGGATCTTCCGAATTCATTGGAGAATAAAAACTTAGTTTTCATTATTCACTTTCCCTTTTTAAACTCTGAGAGAGTGTTAGGAGAGAGATAGATAGGAAATTGCACTTTCAAATAAAATAATTCCATGAGTCATCAAATACACTGATAAATAAAGCTGCAAAAAAATAATGTTGCCTTCCTTTGATTTAATTCTGGTTTCTCGCTTGGGTTTGTGAAATTCAATCATTTCAGTAATGGGTATGTCTAAAATTCACAAGTTTACTAAAGCTGAGACCTTTTTTTTTTTTTTTTTGTTTCTGGGTTTTTTTGTTTCTTGTTTAGTCATGCATTTTCTGGTTATCCAGCATTTTTCAATCTTGTTTGTTAATAAACTTGTGTTGTTTTGACAGAACACTTGAAGATATTAACTGGTTTGTTATTTTTAATTTTTTTTCAGTAATGGGTATGCTAGTGCTAGAAAAGATGGAGAAGGTACTCAGGAGTGAAGAATAGTGAATATGGAGAGGGTTATGAGCAGTCTATGGAGTTTGTACATGGTGAACTCATGTTAGCATCATGGGCATGTGTGTTTTTAGACCCCATGGCTACTTTCTCTCACTCCTCTCGTGTTCAATTCACAGGTTAGCTCCTTTAAGTACTTTTTTCGATTATCTCCTGTGTGTTTGTTTTGTTAAAAGATAAAAATTTGATTAAAAGACATGTAGAACAATTTCTTCCTCATTTCTAGAGTAGTTTGAATTTGGAATTTCGGAGTAGAATTTGTTTTTGTTAATAAACTGAATTTTCCCTTATGTTATGTAGGATTTTCTGTTTTTTCTTCGCTTGAAAGCTTCGTGAATTATCAACTTGTCAAGGAACAATGATAGACTTATGATACATGTTCAGTTGGGGCTAAACTCACTGAAATGCCTTTGCAGGCAGAAAGTTCCTTTTGATGGTTGCTATTTCTATGATTTATGTAAAAAATCCTGATAAGCTTCGGTGAATTATCAATTGTCAAGGAACAATGATAGACTTATAATACATGTTCAGTTGGGGCTAAACTCACTGAAATGCCTTTGCAGGCAGAAATTCTTTGATGGTTGCTATTTCTATGATTTATGTAAAAAAATCCTGATAAATCATACAATAAGTTCAGTTGGCAAGGTCATGGAATTATTTTGAAGAAGTTGTTTGTGAGACACTTTTTCATTTGTAATCTTTCTTTTGATGTTGAATATGTAAGGTGATTTGGGTTTTTGAGTGTATACTGATAATATAAAATTTGTGTTAGTGTAATATTTGAGAATTTGTTGAATTGGGAAATGTTTGCTAGTTTTTGGTTAATGTTATGAGAAAAGAAGGCATCTTCACCGTTTGGTAGTACCATTGGATGCATAATTATGTCAAAAGGAAATGCAGTTTTAGTACTTATTGGACATGTGAAAGTGCTTTCTCAAGAAGGGTTCAAGATTCTTTAGAATATAGCATGCAGTACTAACAGCCACTCATAAATGGAACTTTTGATTTAATCTACATTTATATTTTCAGGTTGCCGCCGCGCCCTTACCAAGACCAGGCAAGGAAGCGAAGTTAAAGTCCTGCCTTTCAACATTATGGCATATTGCAGTGAAAAACATGCAGCATGATAATATGGAGTTAGGTGGCAATCAAGTTGCTGTCACTGGATCATGGGACAATTGGGAGATTGTGTATGGAATTTGTTCTGACTTCATTTTTAAGTTTTGGTTAGTTTTGTTTTATGCCATGACTGACATGGAAAATTTGCCAACTCCTTCATCAGAGAGCCCTTGTGGAGTTTGGGCAGAGATTTTGTTATAATGAAGATGCTTCCATCAGGTGTATACCACTACCGCTTCATCGTTGATGTAGGTTGACCTATGCTCCAGAATTTCCTTGGGAACATTGACACAGGGTGCTTACAATATATTGGATTTGCAGGTAATTTTAAAGCTTCTACTCTGATAATTACTGCATTTTGGGTGGAAGTACATGCCTTTAGCTTTTGTTACCTCTTTTTACTTTTCGGCTGAGCTTTTGACTTTTGTTACCCACAAGTAATATCAGAGAAGAACTAAGAACACCAGAGACTCCTCTTTTTCTTTGCGGCTGAGCTTTTGACTTTTGTTACTCATCTAGTAACGTAGAGAAGAACTATAGTAAGAAACACCAGTGTTTTGTTCTGTACTAATTTATCATAGAAAGTAGCATAACAGAAAGACATTCATTTGGATGTGAACTTTATCGACATGCAAAGTGAATGTACTGTCGTGAAATCAGCTCTCTTTTATTTCCCTACCATACCTAAGCATAGCACAATGATCTCTTGTAAACACATGTGACATGTTTACTTGCACGTTCTTTCATCTTTCAATATGTTAAGTATTGACTCTCAATTGAATCCAATGGACTTATTTATATATTCTCGTTTGATAGTAAATCATTCAACAAACATGTTTCATTTGGGACATATTTGACTTCTAGCCTTGTCATTTAATGTACTATTAAGTATCCAAAGTAAGGGAAATTGAGGAATCTAAATTGTTAGTCCTAGAACTCTGTTTTGTAGATGTACGTGGTAGAGCAATGCTTGCTGTGAATCTACATGCTCCTAAATATGGGCACTCATTAACATCTAAAACCTTGTCAAAATTAACTTGTCAACTTTTGCTGCAGATTTTTTGTTTTATTTTTTTTTTTCCCAATAAGATAATTCAACTAAACGCTAGAGGTATTGAAGTTGGACTTGTAAATATGTGGTGACACAGCTGGTGATTTTATGCTCTAATCTCATGACGTAACATTAAAAAGATATTGGGGTACGGATTAGTAAATTTGTTATCTATAATCTTTCGTCTTCTTTAGCAATCATAGTGTTTTTGCAACAATTTGGTGCGGTTAGTAACCAAGCTAAAGGCAACAGCTCTTCGTTAATAGAAAAGTTGAATTAAGCCCAATTACTACTTTTCTTCCATCGTGTTGTTTCAGCTGCCAATATAGTCGCTTTGGTTTAGGTGTATTTGTAGGTCTTAGACGGGCGTTTGTTTTGGCTATTTTTGCTTAGGATCTAGTTACCTCGAATGTGGTGCATCTAATTGTTCTGGGTTCTTCAATTTACTGTCCTGTTTACAGCAGGGCGCACCACACTTTCATTGACAATGGGAAAATAACTTATCTGATGTCTTCTTTTAGTTTTCGCTTCCTCTCTATTATTGCCATTTATGCAGACAAGATATATAGCATTGAAACCTTCATCTTGAAACTTTTTATCCGCCATTTGCTTCTGTTTTAGCAGTACCAGTTATGGTCATTATTCAACATCTAATTATTGGTTATACACATGTTATGTATTACCGATAAAGTCGATATTTTGTACTATTATATAAGCATATTTGGTTTCAATAATTTTTCTTATACAATGTTGCTCATCCTTTTTCTTCATGCGTGTGCCTTGAAGGTTGAAGTGGAAGCCAGCCATCCGCCTGTAAATAATTGTGATTTGCAGTTTCCCTTGCACAACAGCTACACGTACAATTGTGTTACAGCGGAGTACATACCAGGGGCTCCTAAAAGCCATTCTGAGTTGGATTCTCCGCCTTCCCCATTCTCAAGCTATGACAACAAATCAATAAATGATAATGATTTCAGCAAGCCTCCGCCTGATCTGCCTCCACAACTTCAAATGACATTGTTAAATGAGCCACCATCTTCTATGGCCTGTGAGTCTCTGCAAAGGCCTCAACACACAGTGTTAAACCATCTTTACATCCAAAACAGTGATGTTGGTATGCCTGTGGCGCTTGGATCAACACATCGCTTTCACCAAAAATATGTCACTTTAGTACTATACAAGACTTCACGGAGGTGAATTCTGTTTTCGTACTTAATATCTGAACTTGGGGTTAGCTAATATGTGACATTGTCAAGAAAAATATATTGTTGATGAATATGGTAGGTTAGAAAAGAGATTTGAAGAAAAAAAAATAGTATTTTGCCGTAGAAGCATCCTAATGAAGTTGCTTTACGTTTGAATATAATGTTTACTCCTTGCTTCACCTTTGAGCTTATGTTTCAATTGGAAATCTGCGGATTAACTGGTGGTTGGAGATGTTACATTAGTAATTTACTGACTACTGTGCCTTCTTGAATCTGATAGCTTCGGAAGCAGATTAACTATGATTTGCTTTTTCCAAGCTCATTGTGAGAATGAATCTCAAATTTTAAGTGGAATGCACCAGTGTATCTGGATAATGTATTTAGTTTCAATACAGGTTTTACTATAAAATGCATTCTGTTGGGCAAATGCCCTGAACTGGCTTTCTTTGTTAACAAAAACCAGTAGAGATTGCCTGGCTTTTGGATATGCTGGTATTGATAACTGATGAGCAAAATTAGGACAAAAAGAACAGCGAAAATAAAAATGATGTCATTGATACTTCCTTCTTATTAGGCGCTGCAGTCCATTTGGTAAAATCTTAGGTTCGTTGATTTCAATGAAATGAAATGACATACATTTTTTTACTTCGGTTTATACTCATAAAACGAGAACATTAAATATTAAGAACAAGTGTAACAAACTATAAATGTAGGTTTACATTTGAACCAAAAAGATAACAGTTAAAGATGCCAATGGACAGGACCAAAATCAAATTGATCATGTTATTTTGCCTCTCTTTAACTAGCTACTCATCGAACAGGTACCTTAATCCAACCATTAGCAAAAGCAATGGCTAAGATTACGAAAGGAGTTGACATACCAAATATTATAATGTAAGGAATAGGGGTCTTCATGGGATTCTCCCCTTCTCTTTCTCCTGCTGTTTGCCAAAACCTGCAGTTACCATAGCCCTTTTAATCAATTGATAAACACGTTTAAAGTTTTATAAACGCTACAAACACTCTGTATTGAACAGATGACAGACGAATTAAAGAATGAAGTTAACGCTGCAAAGTTTCAGAGTGTAGAATACTAACTGGTCTGGTTCTTCTTCTCTTGTAACAAACTTTCTTTTTCCTTTTGGCTTGACTTCTCCATCACTTTCCCCTAACATGCATTATCAAAATCTGGTTATCAATTACTGTTTTGATCCATTTTTGCCAAACATATGATATGAAGAACAAACAACAGAATAAACATTAATGCAAATACGAGATACTATCTCTTACCCAAGTTAGCATGAATTTTGAAATGATAAACTCTTGGCTTCAGCGAAGCAGGCATGTAAGTGAGGGGATTCTGTGACCATAACTTGGGTAAAACGGAAACTTTGGTACTGAGAGAAGAAGAGAGGGCCGGTCTGGTTGCCATTTCAACAGAAGTATGTGTTCTCTTTGCCCATCTGCTGACTATCACATAAATGTGACCAGTCACTAGTTTTGGATATGGATGTAGGTGGCACACTGGCACTCATATATTTGCCTTTTCTGATTGCTAACCTTATCTAATCGAACATATGACTAACTTGCCCAAGTAGTCATTTATCCCTCATTTATCAGATTTTTTTGTGTTGTCCCCACCTACTGGGTTGAACAGACAAAAGTATTATTTGAGGTGTTATTATTATACTATTGGTGGCTCCATTTCATTGGCTAATGAACAGAATTATCAAGTAATCCTATCAAGCAACATGATGAAGTTTTATGACTAAACATTTCTTCCCTTGCAAAACACTTAATATAATAAACTACGATCAAATGGAATGGTCTAATTGATTCAAGTTAAAGATAAGTTGAGGTCATTCTGAGCCCATCTTTGGGGTTTCTTTGGACCCAATACCCAGTCAACCAAGTTAGCTGGCAGGGTCAGTCAACCGATTGTATCTTATCAATTTCAATTTTGTTTTTAGTATTCACTGATTTTGTAATATAGAAAATATGTTTTTTTTATTACTTATAATTCAACTTTTTATACTTGTTGTTATGAGATCTATTTCGACAATGTATCCAAAAGTATAATACAGTAAGAAAAATAAACCCCTTTCGTAAACCTATTTTTAAAGGTTATAATTTTATAATTTTGTTATTGTCCTATTTTAAACCGATTGGATGGATAGTTAATAATTGGCGATTCTTCCAAAGATATAAATAGAAACTAAGCTAAATCATTATTTTATAATGATTTATTGATTTCATTTGGAATTAATTAATCTAACACTTGGAAATTACTTCTAAGTTCCGTAGTCCGTACAAATGTAGAGCTTCATTCACTCGCCTACTAACTGGTAACTTCCCATGGGAACTTGCTCAGTTGGTTAACATCACATTGAAAGTCTTGAACTTTCCGCTTCTAGAGACCAACAATTTACACACGTAGTTTATGCCCCTAAAATTACTGCCCAAGAGTCCAAGTATTTTCACTTTCAAAGGTAAAAACAGAAGCATCAAGAAAAGTCTTCTATTGAGAAAATTTCAAGGATGCCTACTTTTTCTTTTCTAGTTCTCAAATTGCATTTTGGAGACTACCCATTCTATAATCGTTGTTTGATCTATTAGCCAATTTTTTATCTCCATATCAACTATAGACTCTTGTGTTTCGGTATTTTTGGGTGCTCAAACTTTGATTTGTTGGTATCCATTTGGGTTGCAGCGAAGCTCGACTTCCGGTTACTGTTTATGGAGCATAAGCAGCTTTGGATGCTTCAACCTCTGTTTGAAGACTGGTTTTGAGGTTTTTGACGCTTACCCTTTTGCTTATTTGATCTCTTCTCAAATGGGTTGTTGCAGTTTTTTTTGTTGCTTCGCTGTTTTTGACTTCAAGTTTTGATTTTCTGATGTGGAGTGAGCTACGGATGTAACTTTAGTTTTTTAGAAAGGTTTGATTATTTGTGTGTGTTGCTTCTTATGGCTCCTAATTACAAGAAACCAAACTTGAGAGCTGCGGCCTTTCGCCGTTTCTTGTCTGTAGTTTTGGTCACATTATTGGGGGTTTTGCTGTTTGTTTTTCTCCTTGGAATCAATTCAGTTTCCGATGTGGCACCTTCTGCAAATGGATTTGATGATGATTTGAATCCAAAGATTGGCGTCTCGGTATCTAGAGAAAAGCTAAGCCTCCCCAAACAGAACAAGTTATCAATACAATTTGAAGAGAGAAACAAGTTGCCCCCAAGAAATGTGGATCTGTATCCAAATTTAGCCAAGGATCATATAGTAATTGTTTTATATGTTCATAATCGGCCTCAATATCTCAAAGTAGTTGTGAAGAGCTTGTCAACTGTGGTGGGTATAAGTGAAACTTTATTGATAGTTAGTCATGACGGGTACTTTGAAGAAATGAACGAGATTATAGATGGTATTAAATTTTGCCAAGTGAAACAGATATTTGCCCCTTACTCACCCCATGTGTTTTCCAATAGTTTTCCTGGTGTATCACTGAATGACTGTAAGGATAAGGAAAATGCAACAGAGAAACATTGTGTAGGGAATCCTGATCAATATGGGAACCATAGGTCGCCGAAAATAGTGTCATTGAAGCATCATTGGTGGTGGATGATGAATACAGTGTGGGATGGACTGGAAGAGACACGGAGACACTCAGGACATATTCTTTTCATAGAGGAGGATCACTTCATTCTTCCAAACGCATATCGCAACTTACAGATGCTTACAAAATTGAAACCTCGGAAATGCCCCGATTGCTATGCTGCAAACTTAGCGCCTTGTGATGTCAATTCAAGGGGAGAAGGAGTGGACACTTTGATTGCAGAAAGGATGGGAAATGTGGGCTATTCCTTTAATCGGACTGTTTGGAGAAAAATCCATAGAAAGGCAAGAGAATTCTGTTTCTTTGATGATTATAATTGGGATATAACAATGTGGGCAACAGTTTATCCCTCATTTGGTGCTCCTGTTTACTCGTTACGAGGGCCAAGGACTAGTGCAATTCATTTTGGAAAGTGTGGTTTGCATCAGGGCCAGGGGGAGAAAGGTGCTTGCATCGATAATGGTATGGTAAACTTTAGAATAGAAGATACTGATAAGATTGCCAACATCAAATCAGAATGGGGGGTGCGTGTCATTCAGAATCAGCCAGGATATAAAGCTGGGTTCAGGGGTTGGGGAGGCTGGGGAGATGAGAGAGATCGCCAGTTGTGCCTGAATTTCGCTCTCATGTATCACCCCTCAAAAACTGCTGCTTCTGGAAGAGTTTAGCTTTCCACGTCTTGATTTTTATGACTTTTGTAACTGATGTGGCACACAATACTTTTTGTTGAGTAGAAAAGAAAGCATACATGAATTTTTGTCTGTTTTTAGCATAGTACTGTCTTTTTACTTAATTTATCATGGTGCAGTCTTAGTAAACGTCTCAAAATCTAAACTCCTAGTCCTTGCAAAACAATAGGTTGTCTTTTGGTTATTAGAACCATTTACAATTGATATTGGATTTCTGGATTCTGATTACTTTATTTTGCTGTTTCTGGCAGATATAAGAGTTTTCATGAGTTTATATATAAAATTATTTAAGTATTCTTTTCTTGTGTGTGTTCAGTCTTGTGCATATCTCTGTGTGCACTTTTATACCATGTTTTAATTGGACAGACACCTACACTTTTAACTTGAAAGTGTTGAGCTTTTATACTTCATATGTGTAGGATTGAACTTATTCCCAAGCAGATATTTCATGGAAACAGTAGTGACCATGGAAATTATATTTTCCTATTGCCCACCAACAGGAAAGATTGGAATCAAAAGAAAAAGACCTTTACAAAAGCCACAGCAAAGGTAGGGCACACTTTGAAAATTGAGTGACCTTATGAATTTACATGACATTTGAGGATATGATTTCTCATTGCTGTTGAATTGGGTGTTTCTATAATTGATTATATTCAGAACTCACAAATTCTGTAAAGTTGAATCATTCATGATCCACCCTTCTGGTTTAGTAACAAGTTCGGACATTAATTTTTCCAGCAAATTGGAATAAAAATCTATTTTGTTGTGCATATTTGGTGATTTTATAGAGGAGGTAGTAGTTTTCACTCTCAATACTAGCTCTAGTAATGCTTCATTCAGTCGAGAGGTAAATTTGTGGGCCTGAATGGAAACAAAACAAGTCATTTCATGGGTAAACCAGGAGATGCACTTGGTATGTCACATCTTCTTTTCCTTTTAGTTCTTCCCCTTTTATTTTCTTTCTTTTTGGGTCAGGATTATTCTTTGAGCTGTGAGTTTTCATCTATCTGCTTTAGAATATTACAGACTTTTTGTAGTTAGCTAAGGTAGATTCTCTTTGTTGTTTCATGTGCTAAGACTACAACAGCGGTCTGTAGTCTGTACTATATTTTATGTAATGTCTAAGCGAAGTTGATTGGTTAAATAGGCTTTCCTATATTTTTCCCTTTCGATGTGATTCAATAAACTCCAGGTGCTGCTATTAATGGTGCAGTTTAGTTTCTCCATGTTGTATGATGTATGACAGACATGGCCAAGTTCAGAAGTTTTAACTGGTCTAATTCTTTCAAATTGATCTGTAGTATAATATCTGCATGGCATCTTATTACTGGAACTCTGGCTGCTTGACATCCTTATACAGGTATACTCCATAAGATTCCATGCCCCATAACACCTCCTTGCATATCTATAATTTCCTGCTTTGCGAATTCTTTGAAGTTCAAATTGTCAAGAGAAGTGCTCATGTGTATCAAAATTCAATAGAAAAGTAATTAGGAAGCAAATTTATATAACCATCATTCTCACATTGTCTCAATTCTCAATTTATTATCTGTCTATGATGATTAATAATAAACAAACTGTAAACTATATATGTTATTATTAGTAAATTATATACGTTCGGATATTTTAATACATAAAACAAAATTCAAATCTTAAATATAATTTCGAAGGGGATTTTGTTGTGTTATAAATATGGTAATCAGATTGACTTTCAGAGTGATCCTATTCTTACGAGTATAGAAATTTCTCCCTTTTTGCATTTCACATAGTGGGGATCTTATTGGGGAACAGAAAAGAGAGACCAGGGTCTTACCTTTCATTCTTATACATGAAAGCGAAACTAATATGATTGTGTTGTTTGGAGATATTTGTCTAAGCTTATAAGCTGATTAAAATAACTTATAAACTCTAAAATTAAGTTGGTATATTTGTTTATAACTTTTTTTGATTTATAAGCTAAAATAAATAAGCTAAGAGAAGATACTCTTCTTTTTTTTATTTTTTTTTACTTATAAACTAGTTTGATCAAGTATATTACTATATTATCTTTATTTAATTTTAAAATTTCATTTTATAATTTATTATTTAATAAAATAATGTAGTATTATTTTTAATCATTTTAATAAAAAAATATATTTATAAATAATATTTTATCAAATAAATCAATTTTTTATCAATCACTTATAAATACTTTAACCAAATATATAATTGTTTAAAATTTTAAATGTTTATAAACGTATATAAACTAATTTTC